GCTCTTCGAAAAAGGACATGATTGTCGAGGATTGAATATCCTTACTTATATCGTCGACTGATACGCATACTGTGCTATGATACTTATTCAGCAGTCGCAAGTGTTGAGTGCTGGAGCGCGTTCGAATTGTTCTGCGGCATTGCCATGTTAGAAAAGAGCAAAATATCAAGATTTAGATAATACCGGCCCGCTATCGTGCGCATCATACGGTAGGCTTCAGCAAAACAGGTGGGCCTCTTAAACGTTTGCTGGTATTATCACAAAGCACCTGATTATCACGCTAATGCAACGACCTAAGATTCCACACTTTCCAGTTTCATTAAAATCCGCCATGAATGCCTGAAAACGAAGCTAAAGTGGTACATTTATCGCAACTCTGCAATCATCCTGCAATTTGCTATATCCTGGCCTTTAGCGGTGAATAGGGTTTTGCTTCGCCTTAAAATGGAAATGAAATATGCTTCTAATACTTATAGGAATATAATAATAAGTGATCATCCGATGCTTCTCTTTGCCTTACATTCACAATCTTCTAGAATCCTGCACTTGTGAACAGTTTAGTGAGTTCTGGCCCTCTTGTTATTAGATTAACTGTGAAATGTACCATCCGATAAGAAACTGCTTGATAAAGTGTCTCGTCTCACCCCACAGGACGCTTGTAAGTTAGAACACTCAAAGTCAACAATAGCTGCGCAACGGAATAGCGACTTTTGCTTTCTGAGGCGCTTTTACAGTCTTATAATTTGCGGCCATCCTCCCTACGGACAAACTATGCTTCTCATCCTACGTGTTACTTGTACGTAAAAACCTCAATAGCAAGGGGGGCTGCGTGATGGATTTGGCGAATTTCTAGTTTTAAGGCTCCTTACAAGCTCCTATCAGTCTTATCACTTTTAGTCATACATCAACAACGTCGAGGTGCCACGCCGCATAACACTTGAAAGCATAGATGCTCTAGCATCAACTTTTGCCGTGCAACAAAATGACGACTTCTGCGTTCAAAGGGGCTCTGACAGCCCCTATCAGTTGTTATCACCCTCCCTCACCCACAAATAATGTTCACGTCCCATCTCACAAAACACCTATAAGTTTAGACGTTCTTGTGTCAACGCGAGCTACCAAGCGAAACTAACAACTTCCGCGTTCTGACGTGCCTTCTCAGCCCTTATCACTTGCAATTATTTTCAATACCTCATCAACAATGACCCCGTACCATCCCTCATAGAAGTTGTAAGTAGTGACGCTCTAGTGTAAACGCGAGCTAGGTAACGTAATTAACAACTGTCGCGTTCTGACGTGCCTAATCAGCCCTTATTAGTTGCGATCACTTTCAATCACTCATCAACAAAGGACATCTCCCACCCCTCATAGCACTTGTAAGGACCACTTGGCACTATCATTGACTATCATTGTATCACTATCATTGTGGTCGAGCTACGACTTTCCGGTCAAACCCATACACCAACAGACACACTTAGCCGCTTATATAAAGCACTTGTATATGAAGTTGCTCTAAGTATCGATCTTTTTTGTGTAGAAGTTCTTTGTCGCGGGAGCCCCCAGTCTATTTCTGGAGTTTCAAGATGCAAATAAGGAAAGCTTGGGAGAGTTCACAGGCCGGTCTCTATTTCTGTAGCGAACGCAGCCTATTTCCATCAGATATGCCTTGAATGGTGCGGTGCTCTTCTGCGTAAAATGTACATTTCGGAGCGTCTTTGTTGCCATGATACTGGCCGTTGAGTTATCACGTTAAGACGACCTCTTTCGTCGTCACGCTCATGATCGAAAATGCACAGGCAAATTAGAGGGCCAATTTTGCGCGTTTGACAAATTCCCCTTTTTGTTCATAATATGCTTACCATTGCGCACTCCTAGGTTCCCTTCGAATACTTCCAGAAAAGGAAGACGATCTGCATGAAATGCCTTTTTCAATATTCAATTTAGAGAGCTGATGCTCTATTTACGCTGGGCTCCATGGAATAGCTCATCAGCGGCGGGGATGCGAGGGCCCACGGTGACGACAGTTTGACGCTGAAAGGTGAAAGATTAGGAATTGAACATACAGTGCGTCTAAATTGCTTATGTCACCCCCTGATTTTTTAGTTTTCTGACTTATTTGGAAATTTCGTAGATCGGCATCGCGACAATTGTTTTCGGCGTGTAGGAAACTGAGAATGGTGTCGTTTGATTTTGGTTACGCGTGAATTTACAATGCTCTGTTTTTTTTTGGAGAAAATAGGCCATCATTTACTTATGCCATTTTTAGGTTTCTTAAGAATTCTTCGTTTCTCTTACGCTATTCAGCTACGTTGTGCATGTCATTAAATAAGGAAATCCTCCACTTATGGAACTATCGAGAAATGTATACAGACAAAACTGAGAAAATTGACGTGCCCAAATGGCCCTTAAGTATACTTTTTCCCGCATCGAATCCGTGGTCATCTTTATTAGTGGTCTCGGCTCAGGCAAAGCTCGAAGCGTTCACGCCTACAAAGTCTGTTCAAAGAGAATATGACGGGTACCAGGTGGATCGTGAGTACGATTCATATTCCCTTTAGACTTTGACTTTGTGGGCGTGAACACTTCGAGCCTTGCCTGAGCCGAGACCATTAATAAAGTTGGCCACGAATTCGATGCGGGAAAAAGTGAATTTAAGGGCTACTTGAGCACTTCAATTTTCCCAGTTTTGCCTGGATAGCCTGGACACACTCCTCGATGAGTTCTATAATAAGCAGCAGAAGCGATCACAATAGTGAGCCCACAGAACTTTCTCTGACAAACCCCATTTTCATGCTGCTGTCGTCCAGTATAAGGGCTAGTTTTCCGAAATAGTTGTACATGCTTCACCATTTATGTGGTTTGCATAAGTGGAAGATTTCCTCATCTATACGACATGCACACCGTAGCTGAATAGCACAAGAAAGATGACGAATTCTTAAGAAACTCTAGTATCACAAAAGCAATTGACGCAGCCCATTTTTTTTCAAAAAGTACGGAGTAAGTCAAATCGACGCGTCAACCAAATCAAACAACACCGAGCTTAGTTCTCCTATATCCCAAAAACAATGGTTCAATGATTTAGTGATTTATTATCGGCATTCTAATTAAATACATGACAAACTCAAGTCAAAATCAGATCTCCGGTATCAAAAAAAACTACACCAATAAAGTTGCTGTGGGAGAGGGAGTGGATAATTGGCGCAGAAGGGCAGTGGCCGCCAACACTGCAAGCTCAGAGGTGCTCGAATAAGAGCTCCGGATACCAGTTTAGTAGGTCCGTCAACTTCGCCGAGATCGGACTCCCATCATGATGGCAGTTAATGGGAAGATAACAAAAAAACAAATTAACCCTTCGACTACCGCGCGCTACAAACGTGTCTAGCGTGTGGGACCGCACGCCAGACACGCATGTGGCCCGCCGGCGGACTATTCAGTCCCAGGAGACCGCATTTTTGCCTAATTATAGCAACATAGATTGAATTGCAAACTTTCTTGGGTAATGTCGTACTAATTAACCATACACTGAGACGCAGATGGATTGTCGTGAAAACGTAGAAGAACGGTTGATACGAGGTTTATTGAAGCTCCCTAAACTGATTTCCAGGCCCTTTTATACACAAATTCTAATAAAAGCAACGGATAGAACCAGTTCAGTTGGGAAAAGAAAAACATGGCTCCTTCAATTAAAATGAGTAAGATATGACTAAGCTCAGGAAGGCGAAGAATTTCCTCCGAAGTGTGATTATGATTTTATTGATAGGGATGAAAAGTCTTCCAAGACACTCCCGCCAGAAAAAGAAACAGAAATTTCAACACTGTCATGTGTTGGTCACTTCAATTTGAATTTTTCTGTTCCAGAAGTATTGAACAAGTTGGGGTAACATTTCAGATATATTGCTATTGCTCAACTTATGAAAAAGATTACAAGGAGCAATGAAGGGATTGTTTTAAATGAGGCAAAGAAACTGAGCACATTGGGGAAGTTGCTTAAAATTCTCGAGAAAAAGTCGCTTAAGTAATTCAGGCTGAAAGCGGTATCCGATGAAGAGGAAGCATTCATCGAGAGAACATTTGACATAACTATTGCTTTTCAACAAAATTGAGTTTTTCCTTGAGTCTCACTGTTGAGGTTTTGCCTGGGCATCTGACGGTGCAGTTGATGTCGATCGTGGAGTTGTCGAAGTGAAAGCGTGGGGTAGATATTGTTCCTTCTGGTGTGCATTTCAAGAGCTGTGTCGAATTTCCACATAGGAACTGAGCACTTTCTTCACTTATAGATGACGTGCATGACAAATTGGCTATTGATCCTGTCGTACATGAACAGCAACCTGACATTTCTTCAATGGTGACTGAGCAGGAATTGTTGTGCTTCGCAGCTGCCATTACGAGGCCGTGTGTTGATATTTGGACGCTTAGGGCGTTACCAATCGTCGTCTTCGCTTTCACAGCTTGTCCATCGTTGAATATTGCCACTTGATTCGTTACTATTGGTAGTTTGTTGTAGTGATTGTGGAGAAATGAGTGAATGTCTCCTCTTGAACAGGAACATGCAACAGTGTCTATTCTTGAGGTACAAAAGCAGGCATTTTTGGCAAACGAGCATTCAAATGACTTCGCATCTTCTCTTTTTCCGCATTGAAGCTGTCCTGGTGAATTCGGTAACATTAGTCCTTGTAATGATGTTTCTATCCTTGTCGTAATTTTGCCGTCCGTTATGAATTGGCTTGAAAGAATAGTAAGATTTGGAGAGATGGTGCTTATGAGCGTGATCTGAATTTCATTCCATACGAAAAGGGATTCCTGGCTCTAATTGGAACCGTTCAGTCCGTGTAGAACTTGTTGTTATTATTGTTATCTAATCCTTCAGCTTGGATATTCCAAGTTGGGCAAGAGAAAATTCTGTATATAGTTGGTGAAGTGACGTATGCATAATATCGATAGAAGAGGCATGAGCTTGTTCAGTAGAAACACCATTTGCATCAGAGGCATCCACAGCTTGGGACCAATAAATCCTGTATTTGAGTTCGATATAGTGCTGGTCGTCTAACTTTTCTTCTGGCTTGAGAGATTTGCATACATTTTTCTTATAGCTTTCGGTGTAACACTGATGACGTGATTCTGTGAAAGATGTATGGTCTCTCGTGAAATATTCAATTTTTTGCTTGCAGATTGTGAGATAGCTGCTCGAGCCGGATTGATATTGTTCCTGGATGGCTTTCCTTATTTCTGAGAAGTAGACAAACTTCTTGTCCAATTGGTTGAAGTGTGACACTTGTCACTTGATTGAATGTGCAGCGCTCCGTATCGTTTTCTGTTGTACAGTATGAGCTGTGTGCCTTGAGTGATTATGACGTCGGAGCAGAAATCTGATCTGGCGGCGCAGTAGATGATTATCGTCAAGGTACCGTAGAGTCTTTTTCTTTCTTTTGTATGAGTAAGAACGAGTTTCCACATTATATCTGCCAGATCGCCTTCTGAGTTTTCGATATACGAACACAAATGCTTTTGCTATGAGTGCAGGCGAATAGAGAAATCGTATTGTGACGAACATTGCCATTCGTAGTAGAGGTGTGAAGATGTGTATGATAAGTGTGGTTGTGATAAGAAGAAGCAGTGTGAGAGCTATTTCCGTGATCGTCCAACATTGGAAGTTGTAGAGTTTCTCCCAGAAAATTGTGCATCTTAACATTTCGCATGGTCGTCCAGGACAAGTGATATTTGAAGAGTGGATTTTTTGTCCATCCTGTGATAAATCTTGTATATTCAAAAATGACGACTGATGCTGGGGAGAAGACAGCTATTCCGGATTCGTAGTTGTTTATGTTGATGCAGGTAGACGAACTACATGCTTCCAAAACGTTGAATTCCATTGTGGTTTCTATGGATATTCCACCTTTGTGGCATCATGGTACTGAGTAGTTGTTCTGTGAGAGTTCCGTATCGATTTCGAATGGGAAGTATTCCTTAGAAGTCGTTCCCCAGGCTCGTAGTAGGATAGAATTGTTGTCGAAATTAAATATCGTTGCAGGTGCGTAGTAAATGCAAAAAGCCGATCTTGACGTTGGTTTTGAGCAAGTGTGATATCGACAAAAGGCCGTTGAACCCGTAATAGGTGTAGCCACTGGAATAGGCATTGGTAGGAGTAGGCCTTTGAAATTGTAGGAGTAGTAGTCTTCACTGCTGAGGAATTCTCTTGTGGTGATACGCAGTGTAGGTACAACGATTCTAGCATCGTCGTAAATTCAATTTGGTGGAAGACTCCCAGTTTCCGGCTGTTGGAAGATGAAGATGAATTTTGAAACGAGCATACGTGAAGTGGCTTTTAGCTCAGAATGGAAGTAGGGACATTGGTTATCTGTGAAGATTCCTTTTGTCGGCCATTGTAGAAAGAGCAAGTTTTTGTCCATTTTGGACAGGAGCATCTGCTACCGCAATACCCTGAGTTCGGCGTTAAAGGAATAGTTATCCTGATATGTCCCATTGGACAATATATTGGGAACCAACAAAGCATTTCTTCGTTCTTGTCATTTTTGATGCTAGCTAATGCAATATCTCTCTCCGTGCATTGATCAGCGTATATTATTTTCCTGACCACTGATATTGTGTTTGAGCACCTCGTATTCACCACGTGGCTTTCTGCATCACTGCAAGCGAAAAGGGCTATGAGTAGGGCAACGCTGGCAAGCGTACCTATCATTTGAGCATTCGTTTTCAGACTTGTCTTCTTCGAGTGTGTCGATGATGTAGCTGATTCATTGTTTTGCCCACGTTTTGTAGACTGTACTTGTTTCTTGGCCGACCCTTCGAGTGGACTGATTTGGTTGATTAGTCTTGTGGTAATTTTCTTATTGGCGAGACGGATTTGGACAGTTCGTTCGTTGATATTGGTCTTTGGAACCAATTATTTGCCCGAATTTCCACTATCCTTTCTTCGTAGTGTCATCATGGACTAGGACATAGTCTTCTAGACTCGGTCGATCATGACTTTCCAGTCGTGGGTGCTTGTGACTTTGCTTGTACTGCTCTCGAAGGCTTGTCAAATATTCGTTCTTCCATCAATTCCAGAAAGAGTCTATTATTCCGCTTGTGGATTTCCATAGTTCCACTAGATTCTGTTGAAGGTCAGTGCGTGGTGTGAAATCCTTAGGTGGTTCGATTCGGAGCGGCAATTATTGCTGTTGGTCGGAGGAAGTCAATCGGTCTCAGGGGTAAATGTGATTGTTCGTCCGCAATATAAGTTAATGGACGTGAGTTGCAAATGGCTGTGCATTCTGCTGCAAGTGTCTTGACAGTTTCAATGTCATAGATATTCTTTGCAGTAGCATGCCGATCAGCTGATTTGAAAATGCTCACCATTCTTTCATATACTCCTCCCTGCCATGGGCTATAATTGGCAATCTTGAAGGAAATCTTACGATTTGTACAGCCACAACGCTCTCGTCTTTTGGTTTTGGCTTGGAGAGATCCGATTGTACTTCATTAAATGTTTTGAAAACCTTGGCGTTGTCGCAGACTATCCAGTTCGGGAAACCGTTATTCGCAATGAAGCGTCGGACTACGTGGAGTAGTTGTGTCGTTGACATACTTGTCACTACTTCTGTAAATAGAGCTCTCGTAGTCAGACAAGTGATCAGTATTATCCAGTATTTGGATATAGTCAGATTGTCGAGACTGTAGTTGAATGGTCCCATATAATCTATTCCGCATCTTTCGAAAGGATATTGCGGTTTTGTTACTCGTTCCCTTCGATGAATGGGGAAGTCCGGTAGAGCGTACGGTTTTGAACTGATTTTTCGACAAACGTAGCAGTCGTTGTAGAGTGTTTTCTTTACCTTTTGTCGTCCTTTTGGAATCTATATTTTGGTGCATAGTTCGCATAGTGTTTGTCGACGCCGCAATGCTGATTCATCTGATGAATGTGAAGCACGTAAAGAGAAGTAATGTGACTTCCTCTAGGCATGTAAACTGGCTCTATTGTGCTAGCTGGAAGATTGGCTTTGTTGATTCTTCCTTGGCATTTCCATAATGAAGTGGTGCTACATCGATACAGGCTTTTCGATGACGTCATCAGGAGGATGACTCAACTGCGCTTGTCGGCAGAGTACACGCTCTGCAATCGAAATCAAACGGTTCCTCTCGTCCGAAAAGGAGCGTTTCGCCTTCGCTGATTTTTTAATGATGAATAAAAGAACTATGACCACAGTGTGGAGGATTTTCGTCCAGGAGCTGAATCTTTCATCTTCTATTAATGGGCTGTGCGTTGATCCATATGAGAAGGTTGCTGATTCAGCATTGATTTCGTGATCATACGCAGAATGACTGATGTTACTGGGCCAGTTGTTTTCGGAACGAAGAAGGAAGTTTGGTCCGTCGAGCCATAATTCGGATTGTAGAAGTTCTTTCATTGGCATACCTCTATCCTACATCAGCAGGATTGTGGTCGCTTGGGACGTAAAGTAGTAGAGCATATGGAGCATTCGTTCTTATTGTTTTCACTCGATTGCTGATGAACACTGGCAACGGCTTTTCACATTTTGTCCATTGTAAGGCAACTTTGCTGTCAGACCATATGTATTTCTGGATAGGAATATCGAGTTGACCTTTTAAAAAATTCGTCAATTTTGCTAATATGGCTAGTGCTGACAACTCCAGACGAGGTATTGTAGCTTTTCCGCTAGTAGGAGCTAGTCTTGATTTAGCCATCAAAAGTGATACCTTTCTCCTCTCCTCATTTTCTTGAGTCACCATGTACGTAACTGCGGAGTAAGCTGTCATAGAGGCGTCCGTAAAGACGTGAAGTTGACATAGCTTCGTACTCGAATTGCTGGAATGGAATTTGCGTGGAAATTGAATTTCTTTTACTGACCACGTTCCAAGTATTGATGTCCATTCTTCGGATAGATCGTTCGGAAGAATCGTGTCCCATTAGAGCTGATTTTTCCATAGTTTTTGTATAAATGCCTTGGGGATTAGAGTTGGTGGTGAGATCCATCCGAGCGCATCGTAGATGCTTGTAACATATTTCAGGATCTTCCTTTTTGTCCATGGAACATTTCTCTCTGGTGGTTTCGGAAGTGAAAGGATGAGTTGGTCACTGATGCATTCCATTTTAGTCCGAGTATTTTGGAGACTTCATCTACTTTTGTATGTTCCATTTGTTCGATCAACTTATTGAACTCGGCGTCATTGCTAGCGAATTCTCTTACATTCTTGCCTGCATCACGGAAGATTTCTTCAATTTCTTTATAGATTTCCTCTGCGTCGTGAGTCGATGTGGCTTCCAGGAATAAGTTGTCGACGTAGATGTTGCGAAGGATTTTTTGTGCGAGAGGCGATGAGTAGTTGCTCAAGTGATAGTGAATTGTTCCGGAAAGGAGAAATGATGATGATATCAGATCGAAAGGCACTCTCTTGGAAACGTACGTTACGATGTTGTGCTTCACTCCTATAGTTGGATCTTGAAGCTATAGAAAGCGGGTGGAGTTTCGACTGTCCTTGTCTAGACCGACCATGAGAAATGCCTTCTCGATAGCCAGTGAGGAGAATTCTCATGCAACGAATGCGAAGTAGAATACCTGCGATTTCTGGAAGGAGTATAGGTCCTCTGTACAGAACATCATTGAGACTCTTCTCTTCTTTCGTTTTCGCAGATCCATCATAGACACATGTCAGCTTTGTAGACTTACTGTTTTTCGATATTACTCCGTGATGGGGCAGATAGTGGCATAAAACTGGTCGATTTCTTCGATGATACCTTTCTCAAGTTGATCCATGATGATGCAGTGGTACTTTTCAAGTAGGCCGGAATGTTTACTTAGTGCACTTACTGTTGACTTGAGACGAGAAATTGCCATTTCGAAGTTGTCGGAGAGGTCGGACAGATCATCTTTGAAAGGTAGTTGGACCATATATCGTCCTTCTTGTGTGTTGAAGTATATGGTATCGTTGAATTCTTGAAGGCATTTGTTGTCATCAGACTGGGATACATCATCGCTTGTTCCTGTTGATTCCACTGACCAAAATTTTTCGACTAATTCTTCCAACATTTGATGTTGTAGTGGATGTTCGAGTTTGTCGGTCGTTATTAAGGACATGACGCATTGATGTCTTTGAGGAGATTTTCCTGTAATGATGTTGCCGAGTCAAGTATGTATAAGGTTGTATTCGTTTGGTAGACTCTTCACACAGAAATTGCTTGATAGGACGAGCTCCCAGAAGTAGTCGTTTCCAATCACTAATCCTGGCTGAGTGGTGATGCTGCAGGAATGTAGATCATCTTTGTGGAAGTAGCAGTTCCACTGGTATTGTTTCGGTGAGGAAAGGCAACGTTTGCACGTTCAGCATGAATTTCTCGTGATGTTCGAGTAGCAGCCCAACAGTAACTTTTGATGGAGGGTAGTTTGTTCTCCTCTTTTTCCAAAGGTTCGCAGCGACAATGGATGTTCTTCTTCCATGTTTAGATTTAAGCTTCTTGCGATGTCTTTGTTGATCATTGAAATCGAGGCTCCGCTATCGAAGAACGCTGTAGTGTGCAGTTGTTGCGATGGCTCTTCAGGATTGGAAAGTGTGACTGGAGTGCACATGAGAAGACTTCTTTTCGTCGTATTGTCGAAAGGACGACAAACACGCTGGTGGTCTCTTTGAAAGTATAGTTTTGACCATGGCGCTCCTTGTTGACTGGTACTTCTGCGTAATGAGTAGTGTTCGGGTCAGCAATTTGGGGGAACGCCCGGTTTGGGTCAGGGTTTGGGAAGGGTGCGAGCTTCTGGTTAGGATGAAGGTTGGAAACATGAGAATCGGATTCGTTTCCGTTTTCCAAGGTCATATAGGGGTGGTGAAAGGGACGGGAAAGTTGAGAATGAGGGTTATGTTCTTGCTCGTGAGGTGGGCTGGGGAAATTCAGGTCTGGGGGGAGGTAGGGGATGAAGTTGGCGAATGGGTGGTTGTTGATTGCTTGGGTGGGAATTGTTTTGGGACAGGCATATTGAGGAATGATGGCGTCTGGAGCAATGCATGGAGGAGCGTTTTGACGGACATTCTTTTGTCGAGTGCCGTGAGGAAAGACAGTTGTAACAAAGTCGCCTCGTCTTTACGATTTTCAAGCGTTCTTTGGTATTTCTATACTACGTAGGACATAAAGACGAGCTGTGAAGACTGCTGCCACACAATGAGCACTTTTGCTAATTTGGCGATTTGCTGGATTCTGGAGTGTGGTACTTCTTCTTTGAAACGAGCTAGATTTAGTTTGACGATGTAGAGCAGCGTGTATGTGAGTGTCATCGGAATAGAGATTGTGATCCTCCATTTCTTCTTGAGTTGATTCCTTTCAAACAATTTTCGTAAGAATCTGGAGAAGTTCCCTGGGCACAAGGTTTTCGTTATTCCCTTATAGTCGTAGATACGGCTGCGAATATGTCGAGGAAGCTTGTTCAATAAGATTGCACCAAGAGCATATTCTTTTGGGTCGTTTTCGTACGTGCTAAACTGGCGAACCAATGCGTACATCCGAGAGTAGAGTGTGAAGAGATTACGTCCATCTTTGTCGCATGGTGGTTAAGAAGCTAGACGAGTGTACAGGATGTGTCGTATTGTGACGTGGTCGTCGAATGATTCTTCAAGATCTCAACAGCTATGGGATAATTCGTTGACGTAATTGATAACCTTTGATTGTTTGTAGTGCTTTACCTCGCAAAGTTGACTTCAAAAGTGAGAGTTTTGTGGCACCATCCAATTGAGGTTTGTCTCCGACTAGAGTAGAAAAGCGAGCCCAGTGTTCTGGAAATTCCAAAAGATTGCCTTCGAAAACGGGAAGATCCTGTTTGCTAAGTATTGGGGCATCGACGAATGACAGATTTTGAGTTGCTGTTGAAAGTGGATGCTGGATACGTGGTTGTATATCGGTAGAAACTGCAGCGGCAGGTAGTATAGGAGATGACATTGACTGCTCTGTCGACTGCAGTGATTCAGCATCAGATTCCGTATACGGGTTGAATTCTAGTTTTCTTTTCTCGATTTCTTTTTCTTTGAATGGTCGCTCATTGTCCAACTTTTGTAGAGTAGAAATGGCATCATTGAAAAGTTTACGGAAATCGCCATATTTGTTTATGTAAATCTGGAGAGTACCTTCTTCTTCTGGATTTGTTTCCAATAGCTGTTGCCATTTTTTCCATAGACGATTCATGTGGGAGTATGACCGATATAGTGAGTCGTGCGCTGATTGTGGTCTTCGTAGATGTTGAGCAAATCGTCATCTCTTAGTTGTTGGAGTTGTTTCGGCTCGATTTGTGTAGTTTGTGCCTCCTGGAGAGATTTGCGCAGTTGTCGCTTTGCTAGTCCAACTTGCTGTCGAATGATGCTTGACATTTTAGCGTATCACGGGATGTAGAATAGAGTCGACGGTCGTTCCACAAGGTAATGATGAGTAATGACGAGGACGAGGGTAGCCAGTAGTTCGAATCTTCTTTAAGGATGAAGAATTGGAGTGCCTGTGCGGAATATGAAGTTCCGAGAATGGGTTGTGGACGTAGTTGCTGTAGAAGTAGCCATTGGTGCTGAGTCGTGGCGTTTTGGTCGTTAGTGGAGGTCCGTTTTTGCCGTGGTCGCCATTTCGTGAAAACGTAGAAGAACGGTTGATACGAGGTTTATTGAAGCTCTCTAACACTGATTTCCAGGCCCTTTTATACATGCAAATTCTAATAAAAGCAACGGATAGAACCAATTTAGTTGGGAAAAGGAAAACATGGCTCCTTCAATTAAAATGAGTAAGAGATGACTAAGCTCAGAAAGGCGAAGAATTTCCTCCGAAGTGTGATTGTGATTTGGATGAAAAGTCTTTCAAGACACCATACGAAACGCAGATGGATTATTAGCAAAGTACTGAGAAAGACCAATGGAAAAGACCTCAGAATATTAGTGTAACAGAAGAGTTTTGATAGTACTGTTGAAGTTGTATGTACCGAAAACAATTTGTTTTCTTGCGCACAACGTGCATTTAAAAATTGACCAGATTTGAATTGAAATGCTTCTTCCGAGCTACTTTAGTCACTGTGCTGTCAATAACGAGTAACGTTATTCAATAGACGCTTACTACCACACACCGAATTTCAATTTAATGCCTTCAGTTGGAACCTAAGTATAGCTAGCTTTTTTGACAGGTCAGCCGTTTGCACCAACCAAAACTCAAACTTTACTTACATGCTATTCTCATTACATCTAATTTATATTACACCTGAATGACAAGATTTTTCACAATCAAACAATTGGTGAAGCCCGCAACGACTGGGTCCTATCGACTAATCCATGCAAGGAATATTACTACATAGTGTGATAACAAGTGCAGTGAATATTACTGCGTATTACGGTATTAGTTAATATTATTACGGTTTTTTAAAAACCACCACATGTGTTGTGCTCTTATTCCGGGGTAGTAATGAGATTTTTGCTAACATTACCATCAGAAGTGTTTTGGTGCTACTGTTTCTGGATTTCTCCCTAGAAGAAAGCAATTCGTTTTCCACTGCATACATAACCTTGTTAGGGGGTTGTGAACTTATTCGGTGACTAAAATTTCCAAAAATGTCAAAAGTGAGGAAATACAAGGACTATGTTGCCATGGCCCGCCGACGGGCCTACGGTCCCGCGCGACCGATTTGGTGTGGCCCGCCGGCAGGCCATACGGTCGTCAAAGGATTAAATAAAACCGAACATAACAACACCCAATATAGGTACAACATAATGTCATTCAGAGATAAATATTCGCTTCTGAGCCATTCAAGTTTGCTCAAGGTACAGTTTCTGTTCTTCTGTTGTTAAAACCACCCTCAAGAATTAAGATCTTTCTTGACTTTTGCTCCTAAATGAGCGAGAAGATTCTTCGTTTATGACGGAGGGCGGTAGATTATTCCAGAGCGTTATCACTCTCTGCGTGAAAGAACTTCTAAAATCTGTCGTATTCGTTTTATCTCTCAAAAGTCCAAGGCCATGACCCCTTGTGCGACCAATCATTAAAGATTTTTTTGAATAGAGCGTCAAAATCCAAATCCACTAATCCGCCAGGCAGCTTGTGCGCGAAGTCGTAATCGAAACGTTTAGATCTCATTTCAAGAGAGTCTTCCTTATGAAAATCCAGGCTATCCCTATATGGAACATGAAACATACCTTTACGAGCGAAAATCCGCTCAGTGAAACTAGACCGAACAGTCTCAATGAGTTCCACTACAGAACGAGTGGAGGGACTTCACAACATGGGACATTCTAAGATAGGGCACGTGGGTGACAAAGAGTTTGAGTAGCGTTTTTATATTCCTTGTAGAGAAAGCGCGTAAAATAAAGTTAGCTCTACAGCGCGCCAGGCGTACCATTCTGACAATGTACTCGCTAAAATCTGGAGAGCGGGAATAGCATACGCCCAAATTACATCTGGTTCTTTAAGCCGAAAACCATTTATCGAGAAATCAGTAGATAGTGGGGGAGTAGAGCCTAGCCTTAAGATACCGTTTTATCCAACGATATGGCTAGCCCCATCTGCTGGCCCATTCTGATATGGTATCCAGCGCCGATTGTAACAGGGAAGGTTGATCAATACAGTACACTTTGATGTCATCAGCAAACATAGAACACTGTATCCCAGAAGGAAACCAACAAGCAAGTCATTAATGTAAAGAACGAACATCAAAGGTCCTAAGCAGGTGCTCTGGAGTACACCACTACCCGTTCGATACATTTTAGAACACGAACCATTAAGAACAACCCTCTGGTGCCTATAGGAAAAGAGCGCTTTCATAAACTTGAGAAGACAGCCGGTTATTCCGAATTGCTCCAACTTCCAGAATAGAAGTGGTAAGGGTTCGGTGTAAAATGCTTTAGAAAAATCAATGTAGGCGGAAAAAACGAAAAAAAACTTTCTTTTGTCAATAGCGTGCTGCCATTTTGGGATGACAGAAATAAGTGCTGAAGCAGTTGACTTTCTAGGGATGAAGCCATGCTGGCATGGTGACAACATACTTTCCGATATAATAAAACTTCTCAGTTGATCGCATACGATCCTTTCCATTACTTTACTGACAAAAGAAGTGAGGCACACTGGCCTGTAATTCTTGAAGTCGCTCCTACTTCCTTTTTTATGTATTGGCCTAACTAGCCCGAGGCGCCAGATGTCGGGTACCGCCCCTTGAAGGAGTATCCTGTTGCAAAGATATGTCAAAGCCGGAGTTATCCCATCAGCAGCCGGCTTACGAAGAATGTAAGGCAGACTATCCGGAGAGGTAGAGCAGCGTGAAGGAAGCTTCTTAAGAGTCCAAAAGACGTTTTCACAGTTGATATCTACCCAGTCCAAAGAGGTATGAGGGGAAATCGCATTGCTCGCGGGCAGAGGACTTTCTTTTTTATAGAAGCTTTCGAAGTACTTGGCAAAGACCTCAGCTTTCTCGGAGTCAGAAGCACACATTGCCCTATAAGGAGAAAAGATAGATGGATATGGTTGCTATGCCGATTTACGAAATTTCAAAACAAGTCAGAAACTGAAAAATCAGAGGTGGCATGAGCAATTGACGCGCACTGTATCCACGTGCTAAGAACTCGGTTCAACTCGAGCGCACACTTAGTTGTCGCCACTTTTATCAGTATATTGGGCTGTCTCATAATTCCTGTCGCATTTCTATTCAATTTCAAATTTCTTCCTTTTAAGACCGTTTCATTGGAAAATACGTTAGTATGTTGAACTATGCTTCAAGTGCCTTAACAGCGTGGTTTCGGAAGCGCAAGCCCTTAACAGGTTAATCAACTAGTAATAAAAATAGGCCAGTGACTGCAATCAATGATTATGGTTTACGATCCTCAGAACTCTGTAGGAAGGAAGAAAACAGAGAAGATCAGCGCTGTGTTCGACTCAGTCTCTGCTGCAGGTTACCAAGCTAATGGACCAATCGCAACGGTAAAGACGGAACGAGCTATGGACTTCAACCTCATACTGGGCCTGCAGTCATTTTTGATGAGCGCCGCTTGCACACTAAATTGGGAGTGCCTCCGCACGCTGCTACCAGGGTATTGTAGCAGATACCTGAGCGCAGCCGATGCACCAGCAATTTCCATCACTATGGCAAGGACTGCTGCAGAGTGAAGTTTTGATGGAAACCTTCTGGTCTGGCTGACCATGAGCGGGAAGCAGGCCTGATCACCTGGGTGAAAGCTATTCTTGGATGGCAAAAGCAGAGTCTTCCCTAATCGGTCACCGGTGGAAATGAGTCATGAGTCCACTGCGACAACAACATGCGGCACGTCTTATGGTTGCCTCGCAGCCAGGAAGCACCAGCTCAGCCAAAGCCGGAACTCCGTTTTCTGAGAATATCGCTCTCGTCTTATTGGATTCGCTGGGCGGCCTAGTTTGGGAACCACTTCAATGTATGAAGACAAGCATTGCTAAAGTCAGCGCGGAATAGCCTTCTTGGCTGGCTTCAGGGTTGCGAGGGGATCGTCAGAAACGTCGCAGATTCTCCTTTTTCCGAATGTACGCCAGACCTCACATTGCAATGCCAACTCACCACGTTCTGAGGGAGGTGGCCGGGCCATGATACCTCATCCACCATATAGCATTGGCATCGCTCTATCGGACTATCGTCTCTCCTGCGCTTTGAATAAGTATCTGCCAGAGAAGAAAGTTAAAGATTGCGGTCACCCCAAAAACGACTTCTCCATATTCTTCAACCCCCCGTTTCCTTCATTCTGGGCTGGAAGCTTCCAAACGCCCACCAGTAAATGCATGCATCTCAGTGACCATTGTGGTTGTTATGCTATCAGCCAGTTGTTTCCCACAAGAGATAAAACTTGAATAAACAAAAGTGTCGAAATTGCGACAGGAATTATGAGACAACCCAATAGTTGACGCTCATTACTACTCCTATCACCCACCATCAACACCTCGCTTCCTTTATCGTTTGCCAGTAATAACTGCAACGAAGTTGGGACATTAGCATTCAGACGCTTCTTGTCGTTCCTTACCATTTGTTATCAGTTCATACCGTTCACCATCAGAGTCCCCGTCCCACACCCATGCAAAATGTAGGAGTTACTGCATAATGTCGCCACGCCCACGACAAAATTAGTGGTACTCAGGTTCCTAATTTCCTTATCAACACTTATCAATTGTTATCACATTTGATCAACCACTATCCGCGTTCCCGTCCT